TTAGTAGAGACGGGGTTTCACCATGTTGACCAGGATGGTCTCGATCTCTTGACCTCGTGATCCACCCGCCTCGGCCTCCCAAAGTGCTGGGATTACAGGCTTGAGCCACCGCGCCCGGCCTCAAAAATAATCTTAAATAAATAAATGAAATATCAAAAGCAAGTTAGTTACTTCCTAGATATAAAAAAATAATAAATGAAATAAAATTTTCTAGTAGCTACATTAAAAACAATTTTTAAAAAGATTAATTTTAGTTATATATCTTATTTAACCAGGTATATATATTTTATATATATGCGTGTGTGTGTGTGGGGGGGGGTGTGTGTGTGTGTGCGTGTGTGTGTGTGTGTGTGTGATAGTCTCACTCCTCACTCTGTCACCCAGGCTGGAGTGCAGTGGCACAAAATGCAACCTCCATCTCCTGGTATCTAACCCAATATATTAACATTATTATTATTTTAACATGTAATATAAAGATTAGATATACTTTGTATTCTTTTTTTGCTAAATTTTGTATATAATGTATATATAAGTAGGTATATACATTTATCACACATCTGGGTATGGGCTAGACGTATTTCTTTCTTTCTTTCTGTTTTTTTTTTTTTCTTTGGACTCAAGTGATCCTCCTGCCTCAGCCTCCTAAGTAGCTGGGACAGGGGTGCACTACTGTGCCTGGCTAATTGTTAAACATTTTTTTTGTAGAGACAGGGTCTTGCTTTGTTTCCCAGGCTGGTCTCAAACTCCTGGGCTCAAGTGATCCTCTCACCTCAGCCTTTCAAAGTGCTGGGATTATAGGTGTGGGCCACCATGCCTGGTACCACATTTCAAGTTCTCAGTAGTCACTTGTGGCTCAGAACCACCGTATTAGACAGTGTAAGGCCAGAGTCTAAGCCCTTCCCATGTAGCCCCAAGGGTGAGTAATGCCAGCCATGTGCTAGGTAATGAAGGGGGTGTTTTACTGGGCAAGCAACTTGTGGCCACTTTTATCTGACCTTCCTTCAGGCTTCCTGTTGGAAGTAGTCCTACTGTATGCCCTCTTGTGAACTCTTTTTTCTTAAAAAAAAAATTTTTTTTTGAGACAAGATCTTGCTCTGTCACCCAGGCTGGAGTGCAATGGCATGATGGTGCTCCCTGCAACCTCAATTTCCCGGGCTCAAGTGATCCTCCCACCTCAGCTTCCTGGGTAGGTGGGACCACAAGCATGTGCAACCATGCCCAGCTAATTTTGTTTGTTTTTTGTAGAGATGAGGTCTCATTATGTTGGCCAGACTAGCCTTGAACTCCTGACCTCAGGTGATCTGCCTGCCTTGGGCTCCCAGAGTGCTGGGGTTACAGGTGTGAGCCACCGTGCCTGGCTGATGATTATAATTCTTCTTCTTCTTATTATTATTTTTTGAGACGGAGTCTCGCTCTTTCACCCAGGCTGGAGTGCAGTGGTACAATCTCTGCTCACTTTAACCTCTGCCTCCTGGGTTCAAGCAATTCTCCTGCCTCAGCCTCCTGAGTAGCTGGGATTACAGATGCCCTCCACCACATTGGGCTAATTTTTGTATTGTTAGTAGAGATAGGGTTTCACCATGTTGGGTAGGCTGATCTTAAACTTCTGACCTCAAGTGATCCATCCGCCTTAGCCTCCCAAAGTGCTGGTATTACAGGTGTGAGCCACTGTACCCAGCCTGATGATTACAATAAGAAGGGACTGGGGAGGCATTATGAGTACAGATAGGATGGTGTTCAGAATTTTTAACAACCATGGAGAGGCCTGCAGTGTCTGAGGGGAAAGTCAGAGCAGGGAGTCTTTAGGCAGTAGCTGTTTCTCACTAGGAAAGGAAATATTTCCATATTTGAACATGGGGGATGACCGTATCAGTGCACACCAGCTGAGTGTGACACTTTAGCACAGAATCTGACATAAAAGTGGGGAGCAGGTACCAGGTGAACACAGAGGAGCATGGAGTAGGAGTTCTGTGTGTCCTTCCTGAATGGCCTGGCTCCTTGTCCTGACTTCCCTGGCTTTCTTCATAGGGTTGGGCCAGCCCCTGCCGAGTGCACCACAGCCCCAGGCCTTGCCCACCCCCGGCGAGGATGAGGGAGACAAGCCGGAGCCCAAGCAGGTGGTCCTCATCGACAGCTCCTACCTGTGCCAGTTCTGCCCCAGCAAGTTCAGCACCTACTTCCAGCTCAAGTCTCACATGACCCAGCATAAAAACGAGCAGGTAGGCGGGTGGTGGCAGAGGGGGCCACACCACACCAGTCACGGCCTTTCACTGGTGCTGGGGAACGCTGCCTAGGAAGGCGTAGGAGTCAACGAGTCAGACCTTCCACGGCCCTGTTTGCCCCGGGTTAGATTCCTAGTGGGGGCTGATGGAGTTGAGTAAGGTTACCCTTGGGGCAAATCACAGAAAACTTTGACTCAACTTCAGGCCTGAGACAGCTGACTCCACCTAGTGAAAGGACGCTGTGTCTTTCCAGCTCTGGTCTCTGCCATCTCAGGGTGTGGCCTTGTCCTCTCCTGATGGCTCATCCTGTGCTTCTGTCCTGGGATGGTGGCCACCCTTTTTTTTTTTTGAGACAGTTTTACTATTCTGCCCAGGCTGGCATGCAGTGGCGTGATCTTTGCTCACTGCAACCTCTGCCTCCTGGGTTCAAGTGATTCTTGTGCTTCAGCCTCTCAAGTAGCTGAGATTACAGGCATGCACCACCATGCCCGGCTAATTTTTGTATTTTTAGTAAAGATAGGGTTTTACCGTGTTGGTCAGTCTAGTCTTGAACTCCTGACCTCAAGTGATCTGTCCACTTGGCCTCCGGAAGTGCTGGGATTATAGGTGTGAGCCACTGCAGTCTGGCCAGTGGTCACTCTCTCTAGGCAGCAATCCGGACCCACTATTATCCATGAGCAAAAAGGGATTATTTCTTCTGTATCATTTTTAGGAGGAAGGAAACTTCTCAGAAGCACTTTGTAGATCTCTCCTTAGTCAAAACCAGTACATGTGCTCTATCATTTGAGAATGCATTATTATGTACAAATAATAGAAAACTGGCTTCATAGGGCTTATTTCTCTTGCATCGGAAGAAATCCCTAAGTAGGCAGTGTTGGGCTTATATAGAGCAGGTCAGATATGTCCCCATAGACTTAGGCTTCCAGCTTTCTGATCTGCCATTCTTAGCTTATGGGGTTCATCCCAAGGTTACAGAATGGCTGCTATGTCTCCATCCATATTCCAGTCAAGCAAATGCAGAAAGCAGAGGGGATTTCTCCTGGGAAGCTTTTGCCTTTGTGTTCTGGAAGTGATGTTGTCCCCAAAGACTACTGCCTGTATATCATTGGCTAGAAGGGAGTCACATGGCTGACACTAGATGCAAGAGAACCAGGATCAAGTGGTTTTTTTTTTTTTTTTTTTTTTTTTTTTTTTT